CGGGCGGGTCTGGCAGCGGCGAACGTGAGGTGAGGAGGAGGTGCGGCACACGGCGTGTGTGGAGCTGTAAACAGGGCCAACCAATCAGAAGCCGATTAATCGATGATTGAAAAAGTTGACAACTTTTTCAATAATCGATTATAATCGATTATGTCGATTTAGTTGTTGCAGCCCTAGCTGTTTGTTCAGGCATGTCCAAAGTGGTAGCCCCGGCAGGTGACTATTTTGGTCTACCGTTATCCCCCGAGACCTACATTGTACAATGGGAGAGGCAGTATAACTCATCTAACCATAGTAGAAGATTTGTGCCACCTATAGCATAGCTTCTACTGTTTGTTCAGGCATGTCCAAAGTGGTAGCCCCGGCAGGTGACTATTTTGGTCTACCGTTATCCCCCGAGACCTACATTGTACAATGGGAGAGGCAGTATAACTCATCTAACCATAGTAGAAGATTTGTGCCACCTATAGCATAGCTTCTCAAGCAGTGGTACACCTACTCTAAGGCCCCATTCACACTGATCGATTTATCGCGCTGTAATTCCTGCGATATCGTGGCTATTTACCGCGCGATATCGCTCTCCAATGCATGGCAATGGGGCTCTGTCCGTGGCTGTCGCGGGTCGTGCGTTGCTACAGCAGGACCCTTTTTGGAGCGGATTTTGCCGCGATTTGCACGACAAACGCCCAAAATGCAAATCGATTTGCGAATCGCTCAGTGTGAATGGGGCCTAAGCACTATTTCTGGACATACCGTATTAATAAAGTCAATATACTGCACATAATACTGGTGTAAAGAGGTTCAACAACTAATCATTTGGAAAAATGTGTTAATTAGAATAAAGCATTCAGAGGACACATGTATGCATTCCAAAGGGAAGTTTAAATAACTAGATACCAGATACTTGGGTACATGATTTAAAAAAAAAAAAAAAAGCTCATAAAAAGGTGTATATGCTTTAATATATTTGAGAAATACTGTTGTGTGCAGCTTCAGTCTTAGAATTGTTTGCTGAGCAAATATGTAGATTTTCCTATTGAGAATGATGGTTTCTTAGCTGTCATACTGACCTAAAGGCTTCAACACTGTGAGTCCCTAACTAAGTATGGGAATCAGGAGTTCAGATTTATTTGCTGCATGCTTGTTCCAGTATTGAAACCAAAGATAGTCAGACAGCTTGAGTGTTCAGAGGGAGGTCAGTAATAGCAGCCTCCATGTTTCTCTTGCCTCAGGTTTTCTTTAACAACTTGCTGTCTGGAGCAATTTCTTACTATTTGCGCACACATATGATAAAATATGAAGTTATGGCTAGAAAATCAATGCAGACCCACAAACAATTATATATTGTCTGAAAGCAGGGGCCTGTAGAATAAAAAAAAATGCTAGTTGCGATTTTTTTTTATTTTTTATTGCACTGTATTTGTACAAATGTTTATCAAACACGTATTTTTAGGATAAAATATACTAAAATGACATTTTAGTGCATAGAAACAGAAGATAATACCCAATGTTTTGTTAAAATATAAATGATGGGATCACGTCGGGTAAATAGATATCAAACATGTCAAGCCTTAAAATTGTGTGCATTTCCCATAGGCGACAATTTAAAAGCTTTTACTGCTCGTCAGTTTAGTTTTACCAGTGATTGATGGCCCTAGAACTATTGCTCGCTGTCTGGCGTTCCCAATGATATGTAACGTGTGGTGCAATTTTTGTTTTTGCGCGCAGGTGCACCCAACGCGTGTTTGCATTGTATGTGCATGCACGTGGGGGGCGGGGAACTTGATTTTTTTTTTTCTTTTTATACGTTACTTTAATTTTTTACATTCAACTTTATTGCTATCACATAGAGGGCTAAGAAGCCCCCTATGTAACACGATGTGACAGGTCCTCTTTATAGAGACCACAGTAGTCTTCCAGACTCCTAATGTCACCTAGGGACCCCAAAGAAACAGAGGAAGCAAATATCTGCTTCCCCAGCTTCTTCTGGCTCTGAGAGCCAGAAAATGTAGACCGTGACACCCGAAGTGATGTAATACATATCCTCTTCTACGGTACCCATAGTGTAGTGCCCTGGCCTGAGTGGCCAATTGGAGGACCAGAATACTGCTGAGGGAGAGGAGCATGTCATCACTGAGATGGAATAGTGGGGATGTACAGGTGCTTTATGTATTCTCAGCAAAGATGGTGGCTTATGCATACATGCGTGAGATAAAGTTCATTAAATCCCATGATCATGTTAAAGAAGAACTCCGGGCAGAAGAAAACTTAACCCTTGCATTGGGGCTACTCCCACCCCCACCCCCCACACTGCGAGAGTTAAGTGCTCGTTTTCGTCTAGTGTCTGAAATAACAAAGAAACCCTGAACCTCTGACCTGGCTGGCTGCTAGACTGATCCCGACGATGGAATGTCCCTTTGGTGTCCTAACGTCCAATACACTGTATTGGATGTTATGATCACGAGTTCTTAGTTTTTTCCCCCCCACACTAGAAGAAAACTAGCACTTAATCCTTGCAGTGTGGGAGTAGCCCTATTGCAGGGATTACGTTTTCTCCTGCCCAGAGTTCTGCTTTTATTGCCAAGTCACACCATGTCCAGTGCGTTCCAGGGAAATTCGAGCCCGAAACGCACTGGATCAAGCCGGGCAGCATTCTTGGGTGGGAGGGGGGTGTTGGTGCCATTTATCTCAATGAACGCAAGCGCCTTGGGTTATGATCTGGGCACACGGTACTCGGTCTCTGTGACTACAGCAGTTGGCCTTTAACCTTTTATCCAGACAGAAAGAAAAAAAACACTGGTTGTAGTAACTGCTGAAAAAGCATTAGCTGAAGTTGTGCTTTATTTAGTTTGTCGCTTACCTGAATGCGTTTTGAATTCGCATGCGTTTTCCCCACTATTGTCATCTGTCACCCATTGATTTCACACGCACGACAAACACTGGAAAGTATCTCAGATTCTGCTACAGGCATACCGCAGTTTTTGTTTCCACCACGTTTGTGCGCATTTAACGCACATCAATGCGTGGAAAAAAATGCATGTTTTCCCATCCGTGTTTGTGGTGCCATGAAAAGTAAGTGCGTTACACATTTTTGAAGGGCTCTGTGAGCGTGTGTCATTTATTTTGGCCTTTCTACAAACTGAGCATAGGACATTATATAGTGGTACTGTCATAACTAAAATGTGATCTGTTTGTCTTTTGTAGATTTTACAGTTGTAGCTGGTTATCACATCTCGGAAGAGGTCTATGAACCAAATATTCCAAGGGAGTTGGTTTTCCAGAAGATGATAAAGAAATGATAGCTGCACCAGAAATCCAAACAGACTTCAATCTCCTCCAGTAAGTCTTTCTATGTCACATCATTGTTTAAAGTGAATCGAAAGTCAAAATTGCAGATACAGTGAATGGCTGTCTGTGTGTTTTTTGGTTAGGTAGAACACTTACAAGAAGGGGTTACAAATCTGTGGGGATATTCACATTTAACTGGAAATGCCCTTTGAACTTTTATACTATTATGTTTGATGTATTCACCTTTTATAGCAAATTTACGAAGAAGTTTGATCAGCTCAAGTAAACATATTATAATGTTTCTTTTTAAAGGCCTCTGGATCCTTCCATTCATGATATGGGCCCACTTTCCTGCAATGCACCACCGAGGTATGTTCTATAATATATTGTAATACACTTCAAAAATGCATTTTGTGACTACCACAGAAGTTAAAGGAGAACTATGAGGTGAGTGCTTTTCACAGGTCGGCTCAGTAGATTGGGAGGTGAGCGAACATATACCGGCGTTCGCTCACCTCTCGATCCTGTCACGGCTCTCTGCCGTGACAGGGGAGGGGCTGGATTCCCCCCTCCCCGCTCTGATCTTCCAGCGCTGACTGGCGGATCGGATGGGGGAGGGGGCGGGTAGAGCTGGCTTTGCCTCTGCCTCTAGATAGGCAGAGCCAGCTGTCACTCACGCAGCTGGGCGGATGTCAACATCGATGTCGGGATCCGCTCTGGCTGCGGCGTCTCAGTATACCGCGAGCTGTAGCTCGCGGTATACTGAGCTTAGGGTAACTGGAGGATGCTAGTTTGTGTTTTCCCGTTACCCTAAGGAGAACTATGGGGAAAAGCCCTGACCCCATCGTTCTCCTTTAACCTAAAAGGAGCAGAAACTATGCAGGAATGCTTTCTCCAAAGGTTGGGTTTTTCCAGGAACCAGCTTGAAAGACTGAATCATGTCTTTGGTGCCTAGACAAACTGGTCAGAAGCTTTGCTTTACCTAAGCTGGAAGTTTTTATTTTGGCGTAGGCATGCATAACAGAATTACAACTCCTAAGAGCCCGTTCCCAACACAGTGTTTGTGTAGGCTCTTGGGAGTGGAGGGCAGCAGTTTTGTTTTGCTGGCAAAGGATTCAATATAAGGATACATTGAGAGCACTGACTGATGCTACTGGCTGCTAAACAGTTGACATTTAAACTAGAGGCTGAACACTGAGCTGTGAAGAGGGGCAGTTATTAGGTAAAGCTGTACAGCGAGAGGCATGGCTTTCTCTATATGAAGCAATCAGGCTGCAGTTCCGTGCATGATCTGCATACACCTGATATTGACACACACACACACACTTCCGAGCATGATCTGCATACACCTGATATTGACACACACACACACACTTCCGAGCATGATCTGCATACACCTGATATTGACACACACACACACACACACACACACACACACACACACACACACACACACCTACCTTGGCATGGCTGTGTGAGGAGGTTACCTGCTAGTGTCAAAATAACTTACCATTGACAAACAAAGATCCTGCTGTTCCTTTCTCCAGGAATCAATTCTCAGCATGTAATTACATTTTCGCTGCTGCCCCCGCTTCTCCTCTGCATTCCCCGGCTCCTCCTCTGCTGTCCATGCTCCTGCGCCCCCTTGACTCTGCTGTTGCCCCCTCTTCTGCTGGTGGTAGAAAGCCGGCGTCCAGTACCAATTCAGCGGCTAGGAGCAATAAACAGCCTGCTATTGGCTTTTTAAAATTGCAGTAGCCAATACCAGACTAGCTTTGAAAACAACGATTGCGCCACACGTCAGGCATTGCCGCGTGTGCATACTGAAAAATGGCATGGACAGGAAGGGGAGTTTAACATCCTGGGCAGCGGGTGGTTAAATAAACATTTTTGGTTATTTTATTATATTGGTTGGGGTTTTACACTCAGATAATTTAAAATCCATTAAACAAATTAAAATGTCTAATATACATACAATTATTGTAAAAAATATTAAAAATTCTGCCGCAGGATGTGCGTTGTGGTGCCATTCATTTTAGTGGCACCCCAAAGATGCCTCCCCCTGCAGTGCGATCGCCCCCACTGGAACGTGCAGTATTGTAATTCCCTTAATTGCAATTAGAATAAAACTTCTTGCACATTTATTGCAAAGTAAACTTTGTTTTTAACACTCCATTTCTGTATTATATTTTAAATAAAAGACAGTTTTTTATTTTATCCGATTTAATCGAAAAAATAATTTGTCAACCAATTATTTATGAAAAAAAAATGTTAGTTGTAGCCCTAGTGTATGTATATGTATTCAAAATATATACTTCTTCTATATGTTTTGAATCCGGCTGTAATATGTACTTATGGGAAAATGTTTTTATTATAATTGTTACTTCATTATTGCCTCGAGATAACACTTCTGCTCACTGCGAAACCAAGTTACATTGTTATTAGAGAACATTATAAGGAGGTTTTTCCCATTTGCTGCGATGCTTACGTAGAGCCTCTGAATTATGTAGCCAATTTAATGCTTTGGAAGGCTTTCTTTTCACAGACAACAGGTAATGGTGGGCCTGTAGATCTTCAGTATGTTTTATGTATTTTAAACAATTATTTTTATACCTTTTTTTATTTTAATTAAAAATTGGTTTGTGACGTTGCATTTTCATCATCCTATAGGGACCCAGAAACCCATTTCTCATCTGATACAGACTTTGATGACATTGAAAGCAAAATCCCAAAACAAGGCAAAGGAAAGGTATGTTCTACTCTGTCATTTATTCATATAAGTTAGTAGACATAAGACATATCATAAGTTATTGTATTTCTTTCTACCTATAGAAAGGCAAAAAAAATGTCACAGAGAAAGGAAAAGGGTCTTTCAAACCTGGTGGCCCTAACTGGATGAATGGTCATCACCAACAAAATGGAGTAGAGAACATGATGCTCTTTGAAGTGGTTAAGATGGGCAAAAGTGCAATGCAGGTAATAGTTTAGCAAACATTTTCTTTGTTATTGCGTTGTAAAAAAACAGGTTATCACTGTTCATTTTTACAGATATTGGACATCACTGTTTTGAGGGCCCATCTTAAGTGGGCTGACAGATTGAGCTGTTGGCTGCATATCATTTAACATGTGCATCTTAGCGCAAAATATCAGCTAATGCAAGGACTAACACACTCCTGCACATGCTCAGGAGTTATGTCATCCCAACATAGACAGTCAAGATGAGTGAAAATCCCAAACACACGCGACTGGGCAAAAATATTTGTGCCTGCAAGGGAGCTTGCAGACATTGCATTGCGGGAGGGGAGGTGAAAACGAACATTAATGGGCATATAGTATGGCACCACATTGAACAGGCCTGGTTTAAAAGAGACTTTGGGCATCTGCTCAAAGGGCAAGTATGCACTGTATGCATACATTGAGCTTCACATGGGAACTGGATAAACTTGACATTATTATCAAATGCAAAGTCTATCTTATGTCTAGCCCAGGCCTTATGTTTGCAAAACAGAATAAATGGTCACCAGCACTCCAAGTTTTCTTAAAAACGAAATCCTTTTATTCATTTTAGCAGGTCATATCACCATGCGTGGCAATGTTTCAGAACCTGTCCGGTCCCTTTATCCACTTTTGTTTGCCTGATGAAGGGACCGGGCAGGTTCCGAAACGTTGCCACACATGGTGATATGACCTGCGAAAATGAATAAGGATTTTGTTTTGACGAAAACTGAGTGCTGGTGACCATTTATTCTGTTTAGCAAGTATTTGGCGGTGCCATCTGTGGACACTTCAGCACAACACCCCCCCACCCCCCACTATACGGGGCTTATTGGTCAGAAGTGCGGTAGGACTCTCTATTTGACTGTATCTGCAGGCATTGCGTTTGGTGCACTGGAGGTGATTAACAACATGCTTTTTCTCATTCAGTAAGGGACACAGGATTCAGTTCAGAGAAAGTTGGGTTATACTGCTGACTACAGGAGGATTTTGACACTGGCAAACTAAAAGCAGTGGTCTGCTAGGTATAACCCCTTTCACTTCCAGCATGCTTTAGTTTTTTGCTATTGTCCTGGGGGAATGGGGATTGTTTCTCTACTGAGAAGTTTGGCTATTACAGTAACCATTTTCTCAAATCGGAGATCCCTTTTATAGGGAATATTTTTATGTGGGCCTTTTAGTGTTCTGTTATTGCTGCCCACCCCTCAGTTGGACTGCTTTTGTATGTTCACAGTGTTTCAGAATAACTGAATGAACCCTTAATGAACAAGAAATAAATAAAATTTGGGTACTCATTTTAAATCCACATAAAAAAATTGAGGGGAATTTATTAAAATCTGGAACAGCTGTGCACGACAACCAATCCGTGTCTCTTTTTCATTTTCAAATCTTAAGAAACAAACTGAAAAGCTGAATGGTTGCCATGCACAGCTGCTCCAGTTTTGATAAATTCCCCCCACTGTGTCTGAATTATGTGGGGGGAATTTATAAAACTGGAGCAGACAAAATCTAGAGCAGCTGTGCATGGCAACCAATCCGCTTCTCTCTTCAGTTTGTTCCGTTAAGATTTAAAAATGAAAGAGAAAAGCTGATTGGTTGTCACGCACAGCTGCTCCCAGATTTTGTCTGCTCCAGTTTTTATAAAATCCCTTCTGTGTGTTTTAATGAGCTCGAAGAAATGAATTCTACATTAATTACAAAACATATTTCTTTATCATGCGTTGAGGGGCACAGGATTAGTAGAAACTGATAAACAATTGGGTTATTCTGCTGCCTTCAGGAGGTTTGGACACTGACAAGGCAAGAAATGTTAGGCCAGCTTGACTGTATTACCCCTCCTCCAACCATCAAACCTCAGAATTTTGCTAGTGTCCTAGGAGGTTGGAGGCATTCCCTATCATTTATTGAGGGACACAGCTCTGAGAATACTGAGAGATAGGGTTATGCTGCTGTCTCCAGGAAAAATGGACACTAGGCCCCCACACACGAACACCTGCCAATTTGTTTAGTGCCCTCAGGGAAATGGATGTCTCCTTCTTCTCTTCTGGTTTATTATTTTAGTTTATTTTGTTTTATTATCACTTTGCGGCTCTTCCCTTTTAGTGTTGGTTTTGGATCCAAGGGTTTTTACAAAAGTTCTATCTCAGGTTCTGGGTTTTTTTTTATGCAAGGGCATTCCGATTATCGGATACTTGGACAACCTATTACTTCGAAAACAGTCTCTTCCTACTTTGGAGCTCAGTGTGGCATCCGTTCCGATCAGGACGGGATTCTTGCACGGGGCCGAAGTACAAAAATTCCTTTTTTTTCCGGCAGGGGGTTGATGGTTTTTAATTTAAAGGTACATTTATCCTATTATAACATATTGCAGAATTACTTTGATAACTTTTAACAGCGTGTTGTTTTTTCTTTCAAATTTACTGTATGAGAAGTAGTCTTTCTCTCCTGAAAAACAAATTACAGGAAACTTTATATGCTTTTGTCAACTTTTAGAAGGTTCTCTGGTATGTTTGATATTTTGCTGTAACATATTTTTTTTCTTTTCTTTTTATAGTCTGTGGTTGATGACTGGATAGAAGCTTATAAACACAACAGAGATGTAGCACTTCTTGATCTCATAAACTTTTTTATTCAGTGTTCTGGATGCAAAGGTATGATGTGTATATACTGTCAAACAATGAATGCGCTGTTAAAGCCTCATTCACACTACTGTACAATATGCTGCTTATAGATGCGCGCAGAGTATTTTCCCATATGCAGCATATGCAAACAAATGGCTCCATACACATAGCTGCGTATAGAGCCGTATATTTGTGCTGCGTAAAGATGCACGGAAAAAATGGAACCGAGATGCGTGCTGGCTTGGAATTTCTGCGTATTTTATGTGCACACAATACATTCAGATTTCTATTGGAAATGATGTTTTCTGGGATTGCATACAGTATATGCATCTACATACGCTTTGTGTGCATGAGGCCTAAGTCAGCTGCAACTTGCACTTTTCTTAAATTAAGCCTTATATAAACTGAGTGGCCAGATTATTATGACCACCCCATCAGTACTTTGTTGGGCCACCTTTTGCCTTCAATACTTGGGGCAATTCTTCTTGGCATTGACTCCACGAGATGTTGAAAGGTGATGCGAGGAATCTGACACCATGCCTGATGAATAGCACTGTCCAGTTCTGTGAGATTTTATGGTTGTGGAACCAGCTGCCTTATGGCTCTTTGAACTTCGTCCCACAAATGCTCAATTGGATTGAGATCTGGTAATTGTGGGGGCCACCTAAGGAAGGTAAAGTCTCCCTCATGTTCTTGAAACCACTCCTGCACAATACGAGCACCATGGCATGGCGCATTGTCTTGTTGGAAGAAGCCATCTCCATTGGGATACGCCATCAACATGATAGGATGAACTTGATCAGCAACGATACTTTGGTATGTTGGGCTATTCAGACGTTGTTCCACATGAAATAAAGGGCCCAAATCATGCCAGAAAAACATGCCCCAAACCATAACACTGCCCCCACCAGCTTGAAGGGTTGTACTCATGCATGTGGGGTGCATGCTTTCATGATATTTCTGTCAAATTCTCACTCTGCTATCTGCATGATGCAACTGGAAACGTGATTCATCGGACCACATGAGTTTTTTCCAATGCTTGACTGTCCAATCCTTGTGTTCCTGTGCAAATTGGAGACGTTTTATCTTGTTAACTGCAGACAGCAAAGGTGTTCGAACTGGCCTTCAGCTTCCATATCCCATACGATGCAGTGTACGGTCAACAGTGCGTTCAGAGATCATTTGAGAGGATCCCTGATTAAGATCTGCAGTAATTTGATGCACTGTTGCCCTTCTGTTGTCCTGTACCAGTCTTGCCACTCTCCGTTCTGCCCTAACATTGACTAGTCGCTGACGGCCACAATTCGCACGTTCAGACCCAGATTTTCGGGCTGACCGTCCGGTCTTTAAACACTTTAACAATGAGCCCCTCTTGAACATTTAACGAATTCTGCTGTTTTGCTGATACTCGCTCCATGGCTCCCAGCGCCAACAATCATCCCACGTTCAAAGTCGCGTTGTTTACCCATATCTTCAGGAAAAAAAAATCACTTCTACTGTCGTTGTAAACAACCTGCTTCCCTATTTATAATGATCTGGCCCTCTAGCAACTTCAATGCAAAATTATAGCTAATTTGCCTACAAACGTCAGGTGGTCATAATAATCTGGCCACTCGCATACAGGCGATTGGCTGCTCTATAGCCTGCCGATCGTTTGTATGTGCTGGCTGCGTCCCTCCCTCGAGGGCCGCCGCCCCCTCCTGCACCCTCACCTTCAATCCCGGGATCCGCTATCCCATCTCCGTCTCGGGACCGGCCACGGGAGGGTGTTTGGAGGTAAGATGGGAGGGAGATCAGCATCTTCCTCCTTGCTGAACTCCCTCCGTACTGTGAATGCGGAAGTGATGTGTCTGATCTCTGCTTTATCAGCTTCTTTGGGGGTCCCCAGGTGACAGGGGTCCTAGAGACCCCTAATGTCTCCAGAAAGAGGACCTGTCAGTGTGCCTTTGCTATTATATAGGGGGATTGATATCTTCCTATGTGATAGCAATAACATTAAGTGTAAAAAAAAAAAAACTACATTTTTTTAAGTCCCCCACCACCACCACGTTTACTCACATATAAATGTAAATACGCGTCAGATGCAGCAGTGCGCAAAAACGACAATTGCGCTACACATGTTACATATTGCCGCAAACGTCGAAGTGAGAGCAATACATTTTTTGCCCATCAATCACTGATAACACTAAACCGATGTGCGGAAAAAGCTTTTAAAGCGTCGCCTATGGGCAATTTTGGGTATTGTAGTTTTTTGAGGTTGCACGCGCAATTTTAAGACTTGACATGTTTGGTGTCTATTTACCCGACGTGACCCCGTCTTTTATATTTTACGAAAAAAATTGTTAAGAATAAATGTTTTATCATTTAATATAGGGGAAACAGGTTCACCTTGATTCCCGGGATCCGCTGCCCCATCTTGGATCCCGGGACCGGCTCCGAGGGCGTCAGGAGGAGGAGGACGGGAGATCAGCTCCTTGCTGATCCCCGTCCGGGCTGTGAATGCAGAAGTGATGTGTGTTACATCACTTCCGCATTCACCTGTCAGTCATCTGGAGAGAGAAGAAGCTGATAAAGCAGATCTCTGCTTTATCAGCTTCTTTTGGGGTCCATAGGTGATATTAGGGGTCCTAGAGACCCCTAATATCTCCATAAAGAGGACCTGTCAGTGTGCCTTTGCTATTATATAGGGGGTTGTTATCCCCCTATATAATAGCAATAACAATAAGTGCAAAAAAAAAAATATAAATAAAAAAAAAGAAAAGTAACACATAAAAAAATAAAATAAAATAAAAGCCACATATAAAAAAAGGGGAAAAAACCCCCCCAAAATGTTTAACTCCCCCACCCCCACGTTTACGCGCCTATAAACGTAAATACGCGTCCGGTGCCCCAGCGCGCAAAAATTACAATTGCGCTACACATGTTACATATCGCCGCGAACGTCGCAGTGAGAGCAATCATTTTAGGGCCATCAATCACTGATAACACTAAACTGATGAGCGGTAACAGCTTTTAAAGCGTCGCCTAGGGCCAATTTTGGGTATTATCGTTTTTTGAGGTTTCGCGCGCGCACGCAATTTTAAGGCTTGACATGTTTAGTGTCTTTTTACCCGACGTGACCCCATCTTTTATATTTTACCAAAAAATTGGGTAATAATAAATGTTTTATCATTTAATATAGGGGAAACTGTTTTTTTTTTTAAATTTCGGTAATTTTTCCTTAATATAGTAAAAAAATAAAACCCCCAGTGGTGAATAAATACCACCAAAAGAAAGCTCTATCTGTCCCCAAAAAAGGGTATAAAATTCATTTCAGTACAGCGCTGCATGACGGAATAAATGTCAGTCAAAGTACCGCAGCGCTGAATACTGAAAAATGGCCTGGATGGGAAGGGGGTTTAACACCGCGGATGTCAACTGGTTAAGCAGCTTTCCTAAAAAAAATAAAAATTGTTCTATATCTTTGCCCAACAGGTGTCGTCTCTGGAGAGATGTTCCGTCACATGCAAAATTCAGAAATAATCAGAAGAATGACTGAAGAATTTGATGAGGTATTTTTTTTTTCCCCTCAAAATGAATGATCCTCATAATGTTGGGGTGTAGTTGTTGACAACAGTGTTTGTCTTTATAGGACAGTGGAGATTATCCTTTGACAATGGCTGGTCCACAGTGGAAGAAATTTAAGTTCAGTTTTTGTGAGTTCATTGGAGTTTTAGTGCGCCAGTGTCAATACAGTATCATATATGATGAGTACATGATGGACACGGTAATCTCTCTTCTAACTGGACTTTCTGATTCCCAAGTTCGAGCATTTCGACATACAAGTACTTTAGCAGGTTTGTATTGACTTCATTATCTTGACGTAGTTGATTTGCATGTTATACAAAGTACCACTGCATCACTTTATTCTTGTGTAATATATGGATCAGACTATTTGATTTTTAGGCGTATCTAATTATTTAAATTCCTTCCTGTAGCAATGAAGTTAATGACAGCCTTGGTTAATGTTGCCCTGAACTTGAGTATCAACATGGACAATACACAAAGGCAGTATGAGGCAGAGCGAAACAAGATGATTGGGAAGCGAGCCAATGACAGACTGGAACTTTTACTACAGAAGAGAAAGGAGGTTAGCATACGAAGTAGACCTTTGCTCTTATGGTTTTTGTTTAAATTATATGCTTATACTCTATGTTTATAAATCATACGCTTGTCTGAAATGTGTTTATTTGCATTAGGTTGCAGGGTTCCATTTGCCATTAATCTGAGATGATTTCAGCAAACGTCACTCTTAACAAACTTGTAATGAGAGAGACATATTAACTTGAATTCCTGGCCTTGTATTTGGAAAAATGCATGTTGTCTGACTGCCATGCTTATGTTCTTACTTTAATAGTTTGGATCACCAACACAGAGCATGTATGCCATATGACCTCTCATTTTTCTTATGTGCAAAATTTTGGGGGGTAATTGATCAATATAACTGTAAAGCAACTACATTTTTAGTAGAAGTGCAGCACCCATATATAATAAGTTTACATTAAAGGAGAACTATGAGGGGAGTGATTTACACTCGTCTTCATAGTTAGAGCCGACGTGTGACATTGAAACTGTCACATGTTGGCTCACTAGATCGGGAAGATAGCGAACACATACCGTCGCTTGCTCAAATCCCGATCATATCTCTGCAGATAGCAGTGACTGTCAGTTACCGCCCCCCGCAGGGACCCCCTCCTCTCTCCGATCCTCGAGCACTGACTGGAGAAAGGGACTGGGGAGGGGGCGGGCACAGCTGGCTCTGACTCTAGATTGACAGCGGGCTCTGCCTATCAGCAAGCTGGGTGGATCTCGACAGTGTTGTCGGGATTCATCACGGCTGCGGCGCGCTCACTTTTTTTTTTTCTCCATATAAATTTTTTATTTTCATCACAGCAGAACACAATACATGGTGCCTAGATCGTGGTCTGGACATTATGACAAGGTATAACACAGGTTACATAGAGGCAAATTTTCCAGGGTATGTTCGTATGGGTTCCAAACATTGTTTCCCGATGAAGTCTCGTTCGGGAGTAGATGTCAGTCCATGAGGAAAAAAATAGTACATATGGATTAAACGGTAGCTCAGTGTATAAGCATATTGTCTGGTAATTTGTTAACACCCAACATGGGTAAAGGACCTTGTAACCTTATTGTATAGGTAATGGCACCAATAAACACAGACATTACAACGATTAACATAGCCCCCTGCCCTGCTAGCCCATACTTGCACAAAGCTGGAACCGACCTAGAACTTGTCTCTTACACAAACCCCACCAGCCAGGATTCTGGAACTTTAGCTATGGACAGCTCAAACTTATTGTGGTTGGCTGTAGAACAGGCAGAGGTTGGAGGTTAGAGAGTCGCCTTACTTCATCTCGGAGTAGGAGGTTTCATTTAAAATGTCAAACATATTATGGTAGAAGGAAAGTTGTCCTAAAGAGAAGCTTTTGTATCTTCAGTGTGAATTTGTCTACTCCCCAATCTTTGTACAGTAGCCAGCTCACAATATACACTGAGTGGCCAGATTATTATGACCACCCCATCAGTACTTCGTTGGGCCACGAGATAACTCCACGAGATGACTTCGTTGGGCCGCCAGGTGTATAACTCCAATTGCTCAGCGCAGGTTCCTCCTGACAGCCTAACCACCATTCACTGCACATCCTATCCCTGGGTTCTACCTCTCTTCCTGCCCACATTGCCTCCTTGGCCACTTCATGCTCTGCTCACAGTGCATCATCCCTCCTGGTCACCTCTACTTTACTCACAACCTCCCTGCATCTAGTGTTGCATCCGGAATGGCAAGAAAACTAGCATACCTTTCATTAATTTATCACAGGACTTTAGAAAATGGCCACAATGCCATAAAAGCATCGCAGATGCTTTACTGAATCACCCCTAGTGCTGTATATCATTGCTAACACGCTTATATGGCTTTGTTAAGGTATGTTAAGGATATGGTAATTAATCAATTTCTACTATGTTAGCTTTGATTAACGAGCTTCAGAATGCTGTCTGAAAGGATAAAGCCGCTTCTAAGTGCAGTAATTAAACACATGAAAAGACTCTTACGTTGAAAGGCTCACCTGGTTAAGTTGCTGGGCTAGCAAACCACAGCAGTAACACTTCATAGGATGTTTATACACATACTTCAAAATAAATAAATAATTCCCGCAGCACAGCAGTGCCTGACCACTTACTGGAAACAAAATCATTGTAAACTTGCTCACATAAAGTTGAAAAAGTAACAGGAGCTTGTGCTAGTTAATGCTATTAAAAACCTTTTTTTGTGTGTGTTTCCCCTCATAGTTGCAAGAAAACCAGGACGAGATAGAAAACATGATGAATGCAATTTTCAAGGGAGTGTTTGTCCATAGATATCGGTATGTTAAGTAACCACAACATAAAATGCTGCTGTATTGTTTTGGTTCTGCAATTTCCTAATGGATTGTATTTTTTTTTTTTTATTTTTTATATATATATAGAGATGCTATAGCTGAAATTAGGGCTATCTGCATAGAGGAGATTGGTGTTTGGATGAAAATGTATAGCGACGCTTTCTTGAATGACAGTTACTTAAAATATGTTGGGTGGACAATGCATGATAAGGTAAGTAGCTACATTTCATTGTTGAGTGATCAGGATGGGGGGTGTATTCCTTTTGTTAACCATCATGCAGTGTTGCTAGATTCCTTGAGCTTATATATGCTATGGCAGGGCTCACAATTTCCACTCGCCTCCTTGCAATTGGCGAGTGAAAATTGCGTGGGGGACAGTGGAAATTCATTGGCCGGGGGGGGCACCACTGGCAGGACCAGGGGGGCGATCGCTCTCTTCTGCTCTCCCTTCTCTGGCCGGTGTGAAGGGTAAACGGCCGAACTGATTCTTCTCCTCCTCGGCCGCTCTGTAGCTGCAGCGGCTGAAGAGTAGAAGAATCAGTTTGGCCGTCTTCCCTTCACTCCGCCCACCTCAGCCTTCATAGGCTGGGAGGAAGACTGCAGCTGCTATTGACCAGCTCGAAAGCTCTCAGCGTGGGACCTGAAGGAAGGCTTCAGCTCTGAACATCTAGGATACAACTCCTTAAACCACCCCCGTTGCTTTTTTCCTTTTACATATTGTTACTAATAGAGATTATGGTTTTGTCTATTTGTATGTAGCAAGGAGAAGTTCGGCTGAAATGTCTTACAGCACTGCAAGGCCTTTATTACAACAGAGAGCTTAATGCTAAACTAGAACTCTTCACTAGTCGTTTCAAGGTATTTTATTTTACTTTAACTCGTTTGCATTATTTTTTCTCTAAGTCTGTGTATCTGATGATGGATTCCTTTTCTTTCTTTTTTTTGCAGGATAGAATTGTATCAATGACTCTTGATAAGGAGTACGATGTAGCAGTGCAGGCAATAAAGCTCTTAACGCTGGTTTTACAGTGAGTTTCATTTTTTACGCTTATTTCTCACCCTACAAGACAGTGCAGACAGTCCACTGCTCCAATTCTCATACCCCATCCAACTGTGAATCACTCCACAGGTGCAGGCAAAGCCGGCTCACCTCCGCTGTGCATCACAATTCTTCTCAAAAACAAGCCGCACCTCCGTGGATCACCATAGATTAAACCGTTATTTATTGAAGTAACAAGTACATGCTGTGGAACAACTTCCCATGTGTACAAACTCACGTGTTTTACCATTCTGACTTAATCATTAAGCCAGATTGGTGAAATGCATGAGAGGTTGTTCACATGGGAAGTTGTTCCACAGCATGTACTTTTTACTTCAATAAATAACTGTTGTTTTTTTTTTGCTTTTGTTAAATCAATGTTTGAGTTTAATTAATTTTTAAACAGTAAAGTGTAAATACAACATAGTAGCACAACTTGAGAATACAAATCCAATAGGGTTGTATGTTCAAACAGAATTTACAGGATCAAAATCAAGGTGTGCAACCATATAAGCCCTATCGGGCTAACAGGGAATGCTCCAATATAATTATAATGTGTAGAAAAAGGTAATCGGTCAATAAAGAGGGCCCGTATATAAGCGATAAATAATGGTTTTATCTACGGTGATGCACGGAAGTGCGGCTTGTTTTTAGAAGCATTTGTCACCTTATTGCATGATTTTATGTACATGTTGTTTATGTACGTGTTATCTTCAAACAAAAACAACCTTTATCACTTTTATGTTTCTGTGTAATGAAAATGATTAAAACTGAAGGGAACCTGTAAGGATAGATACATAAATGTTCCTGTCAGTCCATGACCTAAGACGCGTATGTTGACTGTAGTTCAGAGACTGTGAATGTCACTGGGTGGTGTGCTTGTTCCAGGTCAGTAACTTGCCAGGATCAGCATGACTACTGCCCAAGAGTTTGTCCATTTAAAAACAAGTCCAGTACTCTACCAAGATAAACGTTGTAATTTCCAGGTGAAATGTTGGAGACTAGAGTCCTGAGTGTCCTCTTTTGAGAGCATGTGGATTTAGAATGACAAAGGCGCCATGATTGGGCACAAACCCTGCAATATGATGTATTGATAATGGGAAAATCATGTATATATTGTGAATTGACTACATTCTAATGAACGTCTATCTGTATAGCATAGCTACGGGAGGATTTTATAACATTTGCACAGTGAGTAATTGTGGTGCAATTTAGAATGGGTATATAGTGTGGTGTTACCGCTATACATACGGTCTCTACACATTATTTAATTTGTGATGAAACATAATTTAAAATGTATGCAGTCCACTGCAGCAAGCTCTAATTATTAAAGATGCTTTTTATCAGACATGTGATTATTGACCACTTTACGTTATCTGCTACATGTGCTATATGTTTTAATAGGCCCAAGTTGGGAATATATTTTAACCCCTTCGTGACTGACGACGTACAGTGTACGTTGCCAGCATCGGGGCTGTTTACAACTGATGACCTGTTGGAGCTTTTAAAGCGTCATCTATGGACTTTTTGAGGTACTGAATTTTGTTGCTGTTTCATGGACACACGCAGTTTTTAACCTGGACATATTGAGTATCTATTTACTCACTGTAACCTCATCATTTAAATTTTTCCAAAACAAGGGTGTTATATTGTGTTTTGGGGCAGTAAAATGAACTTAAATGCATTTTTCACAATTTGTGGGGTTTGATAAAGAGTAGCGCCAATATCGTGCGACATAAAAAAACAGTTTAATCTACAGGGTGTTGGCTTTCAAAAAATATATACTGTTTTGGGGTTTTAAGTAATTTTCAGGCCTAAAATGTGGATTATATCATGTGTGCAAAAAATGATAAAAGGCATTGGCAGCGAAAGGGTCCTTGTGGGGTTAAATCCCTCTTTTTTTAGCAATGAATGCGCATAATTAAAACTGGTGTAGACGTTTTGCAAGCATTCAGAGGTCTGTGGTGTACTCTACAAAAGCAAAGACTGTGCAGCTAGGATTTGCTTATAATATGGTAATACATGCATTAGTAGGGGGGGATGAAGTTTACCCTCTAAACTAACATGATCTGAAGATTATCCAGTCTCTTCATGAACCCTCGTGTGCTTTAAGTGTATAGTGAGGGTCTGTGTATCGATCTATCTTTTAACTAACCTGCTTCAACTACCTGAGTAGTTGAAGCACACACTGAGATTTCCTTTAAAAGAAGTAAAGCTTTTACTTCTCTTTTATGCTACAGGAGTGTATTTACTAATGTACGCACATGACCCAAAGTCAGCATATAGCTAGCTACTGCCCCCTATCTGTTGACAGCTCAAAGCTGTGCTGCAGCTTGAGAAAAATCCCAACAGTATTGCTCTGATTGTGATTCAGAGTGTGGTTTAGTGAACCTTTAAAGTGTAGTTCCACTTTTGCAGTCAAATTTGAGAACTCCACTATATGTTTGTGTTCCTATTCACACAGTGTAGCTAAAAATGTTTAACTATATATTTCTTTTTTATCTGTTTCTTTGGTGAAGGCCTATGTACAGATTCCAAGCTACTCTGGGCAGTTTGAAAGGGAAACTAGAGGGTCAGACTGAGCTTTTTCAGGCAGGGTTAATTAGAATAAACATAACTTTGCACAACCCCCTCCTTAACAATACATAGGGAGAGGTTAGGTAGGATAAAAATTAGGGATGTATACCATTTTTTCAAGACCAAGTAGGACTACCGATACTTTTTCTTCAAGTACTCGTCGATACAAATTACTGATACCTTTTTTTTCTTCTTTAGTGTCATGTGACAGCTTTTCTAAAACAATACAGACTCATGATTTTTAGGACAGTGGTGGAGTGCCAGGGCCTGGATGCAACTGCGCCCCGGGTAGTTCTGCCACTGACTTCAAGCTGTGGAGGAACTATAAATCCCAACAATACATTATATAGCAATGCACAATACCACCAGCTCCAGAGGTATGAGAGTGTGTATGAAGCTACATACTCTCTGTTGCTCACCAGGGTGGTGCCGGACTCCCCAGTGCTGTGCTGCGTCTCACCAGGGTGGTGCCGAACTCCCCAGTGCTGTGCTGCATCTCACCATGGCTGTGCAAGTAGTGGAAAAGATGGGGAGATGTACGGCCCGACCGGCGCTGTATAAAGCCGCCGTGAGGTCCCCAGCTAGCGCAGGACCTTACGAAAGTTGAATTGGTTTAAAAATTTAAAGCAACAGCAATTAGTATCGGCCATTTTCACGAGTACTCGTGAAAATGCCCTGAATCGCCACCGATACTGGTATCGGATCATCCCTAATAAAAAAAAAAAATATGCTATGCTATCTGAATGGGAACAAACATTAAATAGGTGTTATCCCAAGTTGTCAGCAAAAGTGGAATTACACTTTAAAACTGGAAAATGTTATCCTGTGTTTGTGAAAAATTGAAATATTGGCTTGGCCATCTGAGGTAAACTGACGGAAACTTATCTACCACAGCTGCAAAGTTCACTTTTAGGCCTTGTTCACACCAAGCGCGGAACAGATCCAGAGCAGGTGCAGACTGGATCAAAACTGCGTCCAATGTATTCCTATGGTATTTTGACCTCCAGTTCACATCGCAGCGTGCGGATCCAGACCAGATCCAGAGCAGGTGAAAAAACTGCGGCAAGCCCTATTTTACCTGCTCTGGAACGCATCAAAAACGCATGCAAGTGCCTGAAAGCCCATGTTAAACTTAAACATTTTTTTTTTTTATTTTGTTACCAAAAACGCGGCACAACCCACTGCACTGCCTGTACAGAAACCTGACCGGATCTGGTCTGCATTTGGTGTGAACAAGGCCTTACAGTGATCACTACTGTGCCATATCTTTTTTCTATCCATTGAAGGGCATAGAATGTCCTTCACCTTTTGGCTTATACTGCTGTCTACAGTGGGATTGGACACTGCCAAACAAAAATAAAATACTTTACTGCAGACTTTACTCTTTTTTGCTAGTGTCCTAGTCACAACATTTTACTGAAGCTTATGTAAAGTTTACAGTTATATGATTTAATACTAAATTTCTTTTCTTCTTGAAAAACAAAAAGTAGTCGCAACGATGTTAAAAGAGAACTATGAGGTGAGTGAAAATCACTCATCCTCATAGTTGGAGCCGAGGTGTGACAATGAAACTGTCACACATTGGCTCAATAGTTCGTCAATGGAGCAAAAAACATACCGTCGCTCGCTCACTTCTCTATCATCTCCCTGCAGAGAGCCGTGACTATCAGCCTGCGATGCAATCAAAATAGTGCTTGTAGCATTTTAATCGCTTCGCACAGGTTCGGACCGCAGGCACAATGTGCCTTGCGATCCCGTGCGGCGGATCGCATTGCGGCTACGGTGCCCTTCACTTGAATGGCCCGCCACACCCACTCCTACCCCACTAAAAAGTGAGCCAGCCGCAATGCAAGGCAGTGCGTTCCGGCCAAAATCGGGCCGGAATGCACTGCATCTAGTGTGACTGAGCCCTAAAGAGAACTATGGGGAAAACCACTTACCCCATAGTTCTCTTTTAAACTTGTTGACTCTGGTACACAGAATAATATAATAGTGCAGCGATAAGAATGAGTACATTGATAATAAAGAATCCATGTGCGGTAACTTCTTGGATAAGTTGTGTGTTTGACAGTGTGGAGCCTGTCTTTTTCCAGTACCTGGATCAAATAGACATGCACCTCACCTTTTTGTTTGATATAGTATATCTGCTACTACAATATTGGGTTTCATTATGTAAACTGCTTTTCCTCTGTTTTTGTAGCACTCACAGATCGGCAGGAGACTGCACTAATCGAAATAATGCTCTGTACGATTCGACAAGCTGCTGAATGCCATCCTCCTGTTGGTAGAGGAAGCGGAAAAAGGGTAAAAAAAATTGTTTTTATTTGTTGTAGTTTTAAAAGTATCTAAACCCAAGAACAAAAATGTAATATATTGCAGCTTACCATCCCTTAGAGAAGGGTGACTATGCTTACTTTACTGTATTTTTGTTTCTTAAAAATGATAACATGAAATCTTGGAGTGAAATTAATCCAATTATGTAAACTTCAATATACAGTAGAAAACTATCTGGCCCAGAAAAGCTTTTTCACATAAAATGTTTTTTTTTTCTTTAGGTGTTGACTGCAAAAGAAAAGAAAAGCCAGTTAGATGACAAAACACGAATTACAGAGCTGTTTGCAGTATCCCTCCCTCAGCTTTTGGCAAAAGTGTGTACTACAGTCATGTGTTTCTCAACATGTATAAACATTTGTGCATCTGTCTTAGTAGTGATCACGTTTTAAGCAGTAATTGAAGTTTCGATATTATGTGTACTATGTTCTGATACCAGTAATGCTTTGTTTCATTTGTATCCTTTTCTGCTTTGCTTCTAGTGAGTAGTACTATTCACTAACGTTTCTGGATTTCTACAATCTGTGCTGTCTTAAATTTTTACCCATAACAGTTTTTTCAGTCGACAGTGGGCTCAGCCTCTTCTTAATTCTTCTGATCACTTTTAGTGGATGGGATTGGCAATATTTACTTTCCTGAACACCCATCTCTGCCTACTGTTGCTAGTAAAAGGTGACCCATCATCCCCTCAACTCCACTTTTAACCCATTTCCGACCGGTGACAGGAATAATAGACCCTTGGCGGAATAATACCATCATGCGGTAGAATGAGCACTGGTCCATTAAGGGATAAGCGCTCATTGAGTTTATTCTGTTTCAGGGTCAGAGGCAGACCCTCAACAGCAAATTAGGGGTCCCAGCACAATGATTACAGCGATAAGTAATCATAGTGATCACAGTGCTGTGACAGCCACTGAGTCTGTTTGCAGCTCACTGTGTTGTGGAGCTGTAAGGCCTTGTTCACACCAAATGCAGAGCAGATCCGGTCAAGTTTCTGCACACACACACGCTAGTCTTTTTTTAAAAGTTTAACATGGGCTTTCAGTGTGCGTTCCAGGCATTTGAATGCGTTTTTGATGCGTTTGCAGATCCAGAGCAGGTAAAATAGGGCCTGCTGCAGTTTTTTTTATCTGCTCTGGATCTGCACGCTGCGATTTGAACTGGAGCTCAAAATACCATAGGAATACATTGGACGCAGTTTTGATCCGGTCTGCACCTGTTCTGCTCTGGATCTGCGCTTGGTGTGAACTAGCCCTTAGTCGGCTCAGTGTATTACAAAAGTGATACAAAGTATCTGAGGAGAATACATCATCTCCTCAGAATTTTTAGTATCAAAAGCCCATGTAATATAGAAAGACAACCCCTTTGTCCCCCCCTAGTTTAAACTGTTTTCTTTTAAAGTGTTTAGGGAAAGGAAAAAGTAAAAAAATACAAAGTTTAGGTTTAAAAACAATATGTTTAATATAAAAAATTATTAGACAATATAGTGCCGAGGAGGCTATTAAAGATACAACCACATTCTAAAATTGTTCCACACAAAATTGTGTATGATATATCCTATAAATATATCCTATAAATCAGGACAAATACAAGAATTTATTATGAATTACTTTCTGTTAGCTACACTAATTATGTGCACATTATTATTGCCAAAAAAAATGAAAGCACATGTGGTCCTTTAACAAACAGTATATAATATGTGTAGGTGCAATGAATGAAGAAGATAGACATTATGGTTAAACAAACACATAGCAAAAATGGGAAGATTGCTCTGGTCCCCAGGAACTAAAAAAAAATTCTGAAGCTGTCACTAAGGGGTTAAGAGAGTCAAATACTGTAAATGAACAAAGTAATCTGAACTCTGAGTTCTAAATCCATCACTTGCTAAAAGTGTATGGGACCTTTATTTTGCTATGTGTCTCCTAACTGTGGGAGCTTTTCACACAATGTATTAGGAGCTAGCGCATAGTCTACAGACACAGCATAGATCCTGAAAATAGAGGAAAGCATAACTTGTGTACCCTGTCATTTTTCCCCGTTGGCCTTTTTGCAATTTAAAGTGTGCTTAGGTTGTATCCATTTTGCTTAGTTTTACTTGCATTATTGCTTTGATCTCTGTCAGAGTAAATGTTTTCCTTCATCTCCTGATTCTAATAAAGTTAGGTTACAAATATGAAAAAAACCCACTCATTTGCAATTGTGTTTTCTTTTAATAGTATTCAGTAGATGCAGAAAAACTGACAAATCTTCTGCAGCTGCCGCAGTATTTTGATTTGGAAATATATACAACGGGACGTTTGGAAAAGGTAACTATGATAAGAAAAGGCATTATATGCATGCTTTCTGTACAACTGTTTACGTTGTTTGTACCGTGAATGTGTGTACATAAAACACAATTGAAGAACAGTAGGTCCCCCTACACTCCTTGCATCGTCTCTGGCCCAAATCACAATGATGGTGCTCACAGTAATACTCACTGATAGCGCCGTGCACATCAAACAGCAGAAAACAGGAAAACGTTGATGTTACATAGTTTCCCTGATGAAGGGACCCTGCTTGGCCCCTCGAAACATCAGCTATTGCGACATGTATGACGATTCGTCCGAATAAATGGACGTCACTATTTATATTTTTTTCTACTGAGTGCTGGTGATTCCTGTTTTCTGCTGTAGATAAAACATGTCTGCAACCTGAGGACGATTTTTTTAATATTCAAAGTTTTATTAAACACACACAAAAAAATACAACTCCATGTATACAATACAGGCATTACATGTCCCCTCTTTTTTGAGCCACATAAATATACAATCTATTTTTCAGTAACAGTGTCAGTCGATGTCTAACCTAATCCTAAACTTTTCTTCAACCTATTTAATGCCTATATACTGGATATTGTATTTTAACCCCCCCCCCTAAATAAATTACTCATAGCCCAATCACACACACAAAAAAAAAGAGTTGATTTTTTTCATAACTGTGTCCTTGTTTTTATTTTCTTTTTAAAGCATTTAGAGGCATTATTACGCCAGATCAGGAACATTGTAGAAAAGCATACAGACACCGATGTTTTGGAAGCATGTTCTAAAACCTACCATGCACTTTGCAATGAAGAGTTCACAATATTTAACCGAGTGGACATTGCGAAGAGCCAGTTGATCGATGAACAGGCAGATAAATTCAACCGCCTTCTTGAGGACTTCCTACAAGAGGTTAGTGGGATTTATTTCAAAGGTGGTAGCTTTCCATTTGAGGTTTTGAATTAAATGCTTATATATCCTTAAAGTGAACCTGTGTCCAAACTATGCAGTGTAAAATGTAGACATATTTTGCACAAGCAGTAAAAGCAATTTAATAAAAGTCCTTATGTACTGTTGTAGCTTTACTTTCTATTGCAGCAGAATTTGGGCAGCCCTCTAATATAAACAATTGTCAAATGTTTCTAGGCTCTTAGAAACCAACTGAAACCCAAAGACTTTGTGTTGGGAATACGGAAATAGTTTAACTACCTCCCGGCCAGCCGCTGTGTATACAAGGCCTGCCGGGAGCACGTAATCTGGGTAAAGGTTTTTCTGTTCTAAAAATGGTGTGGTGATTTATACTGTTAGGAATGGCACTCTTTAAATAGTAGCAAGTCATGGAACCTCCAGGAATATACGTAGTAAGATGATTTGTGTTCAGAATGTAAGCATCATGCTTATTTAGTAGGGCAATGAGAATATCAGTTTTTTTAATCTTGTAAAAGATCTTTATTGAATAGAGTATATTTTATCTGAATTCTCTTTAGAACTTGAGATTTGTGTTGATAGTGTTACATTTATCCTTTCTAGGAAGAGGAGCCTGATGAGGATGATGCATACCAAGTGCTCTCCACACTAAAGCGAATAACTGCTTTCCACAAGTAAGTTGTTTTCCTTAAATATGCTTATATTGGATTCCTTTTACGTTCACAAACCATTTTGACTTAGATGTTTTTCCTGACTCCTGACCTAGTAATTTACTACAAGAAATTGAAACTAAAACATTTCTGCTTTACTGATGGTAGGTCAGGATTGTGGTTCTTGACCTTTACAATCTTGATTCAGCAAGACACATAAAACAGGATGCACTTTATACTCAAAATTTCTGTATGTGCTACATAGTGAACTACACATTTGAAAAAGTTTATAGGTTAGATGCAATGCAATTCTCAGAAATGGGTAGCAATTCATCACTTCCTCCCACCCAATAATATGTAGTAACCAGCATTACTATTTTTCTTACACAGCAAAAGGTAGCAAATGTGAATGTTCTGTTTAAACCAGCACTTACAGGGTTATTCACAAAATGGTGAAGAGTGTGGAGAAGGCAGGAGACGTGAACAATCTAGGATAACATAGCTGATTTGGAAAAATTCTCCAATTCAGCTCACTTTCCAGCTCGGCTATGTTGTGCTAGATTGTTCCCTTCTCCTGCCTTCCCCAAACTCTTCAGCCCTCTGTGAATAACTCTCAATGTATTTTTCACATAATCATCTGTACAGATAGTATGACAACCTATTGACTTGGTGATATCCACAGATCGTGTCTAACTCGCTAAGAAGACTCAGAGTAGAATCCAATGTAGTTTATTTACCCTTCACAATACAGAGGATGTGATTCCTTGTCATTCTTAGAGGTGGAAAAGACATTCCTATCTTTGCCTTTAAGAGAGTGGACAGAGAGACCCTCTTACCTCAGTGAGGGGTGAAATCAGAAAGGAAGTGGGAAGGAGAGGCTGGGAGAATCTACCAGAAGACTGTACCAAAGTACAGAAAACAGCAGGGGTGACGTGGATAATACCAAAGTATACACAGATTAGGCTGTAATAATGCTAATCTACCACTAGGTGCTAGAAATACAGCATAACACAATGAAATACATATGCAGTGTAACTGAAACAGAAGAAATAATAAAAGATAACATTGGCTGTGGCAGCACAGTGAAGCTTTTTTGTTTTAGTTCTGAAAAGAGAAGGCAATGTTTCGAGGTTTATTTTTTTGTTTATGTTTTTTTACCTTAAGCACTCATGTCCTGTCGGGGGAAATTTCTATTTACTTTATGTCCCAGAAACATAACTGAAAGAAAAAGGAAACCTGTCCAAAGCTGGGGTAAATGCTGTCATAGACAGTTGTTACTTGATCAGGTTTCCTATTTGAAGATTTTCTCTTAGTGCCTGTTCACATGAATACAAAAATTTTGGATCACCCAATACTTTCTGTACCAAAGTCTCACCAGGACACATAGAGAGGTGTATATCTCCCCTGCAAGGGACAAAGACCGCAATAAACCTGACAGGGTTTTTTTCTTTTCCAGACTCTGTCCAAATATCATCCAGGTTAGTTAGGACAACAGCAGAGGTTAAATCAAGTGTTTCCTGTTCCCTGCATGGTCTATAGAAGAGGGGCAGATCATTTTGAGACATTCTCTTAGAGTTTAGTTATGCTTTGTTACTATTGATAATTTTTGGATCGCAAAAGCAGCATTTGATGTGTTTAGGGAAAAATACATAGTATAGCATGACTTTGATGATGATTTTTCTTCTTTCAGTGCACACGACCTCTCTAGGTGGGATTTATTCAGCAGCAATTACAAGCTATTGAAAACTGGTATTGAAAATGGAGATATGCCGGAGCAGGTATGTTTGTAATTGTGTCGGTGTAAATTAACATCCTGGTGACAGCAGAATTCCTAATGAATCTTTTCTGTTCATGTTATTTCTTTTCAGATTGTCATTCATGCTTTACAGTGTACTCACTATGTCATTCTCTGGCAACTGGCAAAGATATCAGAGTCAGGTTCAACTAAGGTATGTTTGGTCCATTCCCTCATTGGTATAGTGTTTGTGCCAAGATGACTTGTAACTTTTATCTAATGATGTTTTTCTTTGTAGGAAGAGTTGATCAAGTTGAAGAGGCAAATGAGAGTATTTTGTCAGATATGTCAGCATTATCTTACCAATGTGCACACTGCTGTTAAAGAACAGGTCAGTAAATGAATTGAATGAAGTATTTTGTGTTGTTGGTTTGTTTTTTGCTATGAAAGCAGAGTGGTACTTTGCATTTTGTTGTAGTACAGTAAAAGGGAAGGTGGGCTGTGTGTACATGTAATCTGATCCTTGAAGAGCCTCTATGGGCAGCTTTACACTCTTACTTTTCCATTATTGCGCATTAATTATCACATGCATATTGAAGTGTGTTATGATAAGGCTGTCTGTTAATTTAGAATAGGCTGCCAACACATGGCAGAAGATAAAGAATGTCCCTTCAACACTGCATTGCATGTGTGTCATACTTCCACTTACTGTAGTTTTTGCTTGGAGTTCCATTCTAAAGAAACAGCGCAAAGTGCCGTGTTGTTAACATGCATAACTGTGAAGCAAGCCTTATTGGCAACCCTTTAGGTGACTTCTTTTCAAAGGTTGTTGCTGTATATTTGTTAAACTATGTTTAGAAACTGCACCCGTGCCTTTGCTCAATATCTTAAAGTATAGGGTGTGCTACTTTGCTGCCCCTCATGAACAAGTTAATGCAGGAAAGGAGAGTGTAAGCAACTTCGTGTGGTTGAAGGGTGCTGTCCTTTACCATGTGCAGGTCTACTTGAAAAGGATTCTGTCTTTCGGTGCTTTACTATTTCCTGGTCAGCTTCTCTGCCAGGGACAAAAATGACAAAACGCCCGGAAATCAAAGAATGGCTGCTGCTGTCTGACATTCTAATGCAGGTGTTTTACTTTATTGTCCATAAAGTCCACTTTTTTTAGTTTGCTGTCCTTCCTTCCCTTTCCAGAAAAGCAGCAAGAATCTTTCAATCTTTACCTTTCCTATGGCTTCTGCTCGTGCCTTGCTGCCATTTTCTAGGTGTGATTTGGGGAACATAGTGAACTCCAAATCTCACGGAGAAGATGCTGCCAGCGCTGTGTTGCAGTGTCTTCTCATGAAATTTTGAGTACTTTCATCCCAAAGACGGGCTTTTAAAGTGTCTAAAAATATTGCATTTGCTTTAGGAGAAGTAGTATTCTTACATCAGTATTTACAGTGCCCTAAAATATGAAAAACAACATACATACACAATGGAAAATCACCATGTCCTGTATCTTTATTGGGTCTTTTAGCACATGTAATACATGAATGTGTTGACATGGAAAGCTGGACCTAAAACTTAAGTTGTTTTCTTTTTGTAAGTAATCTTAGTTGTACATTGTTTTGCAGGCATTCACTATTCTCTCTGACGTACTAATGATCTTCAGCCATCAGATTGTGATTGGAGGTCGGGAAGCAATGGAACCTTTAGTCTATTCCCCCGATTCTTCGCTGCAGTCAGAGCTGCTCAGCTTTATTTTGGATCATGTCTTCATTGACCAAGATGATGATAACAGCAGTTCAGGTGAATTTACCATATATCGCACATGACATAAAAGCTACAAATCTTACATATTAATAGACCTATTGTTTTGCTTCTAGTTTTTACTTTCTTAGGCACTTTTCTAATAAAGTAACAGTGTGGCTTTTCCAACGGCCATACCACTACAATTAAAAAAAGAAAAGCCCTTGCTGGACCCCAACAGTCTGAACAACTTCAGACCCATCTTTTTGCTCACAGTTCTCTCCAAAAGTCTTTGTTTGCCTAGTCTACAACTGTCTGAACTGCTACCTCACAGATAACCGTCTTAACCCATTACAGTATGGCTCTTACTTGCAACATTCCCCAGAAACTGCTCTCTTAAAACTAACGCCTTAACAACATTATATATTAGCCTTGGAGCCAACTCATCATTTGGAGTATCTTTGGTCTAGTCTTGGATACAGCTCAGGCCAGAGTGTTTCACAGAAGAAACTTCAGACACTCTAGTCTAATATTGGCACTCTCCATTCCAGGAGTCATCTTACTCTCCACTTTTCCGTGAGGGTCCAAGGTCAGATGGCAGCCTCTTTGGAGCCAGCTCCACTTCCCTAGTTTCACACCAGATCTCTTCAGCATTTTGTCATGGGACAAGTCCATCTGGTCTGTGGAAAGACACTGAAAGCCTGGTTGTCCTCAGCTTGGTTTGCTCAGGAAATCTACTCTCAAGTCATAAGTCTTTTTTTTCCCCTATTTTGGGGGTCCCTCACAACAGATGCCAGCCTGTCAGGCTGGGGAGGAAGTCTGGAAACCTAACTGTGCAGGGAACTTGGATGTCAGAGGAGTTTTGTCTATTGTTCAACATCCTTGGACTTCAGGCGATTTTGGCTACATCTGCAGATTCTGATTGTAAGGTAATTCGATATGGATTCATTCAGACAACACCATGATAATGGTGTATATGAGTTGCCAGGGAGGAACCAGAAGTCCCGCCTTGTCAAGTGTTGGATCAGATCTTTTCCTAGGCCGAATTTTAGATTCAAGTTGTGTACATCCCAGTTGATGACAATTGGTAGGCAAGTTTTCTCAGCCACCAGCACCTGGACCCGCGGTAGTGATAGACGCTGAATGTGGACCTTCTGACCTCCCAGGTTCATACGGACTTAACCGGTCTGTCACCAGGTGCAGGAATTCTCCAGTGAAAGCAGAGGATGTTTTGGTGGCTGCCCACATGCCTTTTTGGTATGCTGTAATCAGGGGTAGAACAACATTTGGCACCTTAGTACCGTCAAAGGTCTGCCATGTGCATTCTTTTTCTGTAAATCCAATCTGTAAGGGTGCGACCTGGTCTTCTGTACATACGTTCTCTTAGGTTTTACAAGGTTGATATGTCTGCCTCTGCAAATGTCAGTTTGGGTTACAAGCTGCTATTTTGTGCCCTTGGTCTTTTATTCTGTTTTTTTTTTCTTGTTGGGCAGGTTCACCTGTGTTTGTGTTGCTAGGTTTTTGGAAGGTGTGTCCCTCATTAAACAATAGAGTAAATAGGATTTTTGTACTCTCTGTAAAATCCTTTTCTTAGTCTATTGAGGGACACCGCTCCACTCCCTTTTATAAGCTATTGTCCTCTGTTTGGACTGCTTGCTACAACTGAGCAGATTGGAGGGGTTATAGTCTCAAATGGGGTTGGCCTTTTTTTCCCCCCTTCTATGAGCCTAGTGTCAATTTTATCCTGTAGGCAACAGTATAACCCTAGGTTGCTTATTGTCCAGCTGTGGACTCCAAGAGAAGGCTTTTAAGGTGGGTACAAAAATCCTGTTTCCTCTTTTTCTCTGGGTATCTATTAAGATACACTAACCCCACCCTTATGATGCTTACGATCATACTTTTGGTACTGCTTTGCTACAATACTGAAGCATGATGGTAGTGGGAGTGGTTATTCTGAGGTTTTTTGGTGTTTTTTTTTTACCAGTATCTAGTCCACTTGTAGATGGCAGTATAACCTGAAGGCAACAGTATAACCTTAAGGTTAGACTTCTTGTGCACCTCAAGAATATTACAGTGAGTACAAAAATTATTTTTGCACCAACTTTCTTTCACCAAATTTCTACTATGCTTGTTATATAGCTTTTAGAGGGCCACAACATCCAATTAGATAATTCGTAAAAACCTAATAATAGGATTTCTATATAAGCTATTTTCTATAGATTGTTATATCTATAAGCTAATATAGTGCAATAGTCTACACAGGAAGATTCAATATGTGTAAATTATTGGTTTCTGTGCAGGTATGGTAAAAAAAATTTTTATGCAAAGGTATACTTTTGTTTTGCTACTGTCTATTGTACCTTAACTGTTTGGCTGATTCAGATTTGCTATTGTCTGCCTAGTGTCTGATACAGCCGATGTAATCTTTCATGTTGAATCCAAATAGAATGTTTAAAAACTTGTATAGACCTCTAAGTGTTTTTGTTTTGTTTTTTTGTGGGGGGGGGTTGTTGTTTTTTGTGCCATGTCTTGTCTTAACAGTATAAACACAGTTGTACCTATTTGTCATTATAGCCCAAAACGGAGATATCACTACTTATCCATTTGATCATTTATTACCTGTTGCCACCATTTTTTTTTATTATTGTTTCCATTGAAAGCTTTTATAAGAAGAGTTTTCACACCAAACAACCAGCTGTGTTGATTTAAGCAGGATATACAAATTGTCTGATCAGGTTTTGCCTTCAGTTTTAGTATTTATTCATTACAGGTATTTAAATGTTTAACCTTTTTATTTTCTAATTTTGGACTTTGGTACACAATTTTTTTTATTTGAATTTGTTAAATGGAAACCATTTCCTAGACTTCATTCATCCATACTATACACTCATTTGCCACTGTTCTCCAGCTATCTTAGTGAGGCATTTTAATGGGTTATTTTTCTGTTTTTAAGATGGCCAGCAGGACGACGAGGCCACTAAAATTGAAGCATTGCACAAAAGAAGAAATTTGCTTGCAGCTTACTGTAAGCTCATAGTATATAATGTAGTTGAAATGAACACTGCTGCAGACATCTTCAAACAGTACATGAGGGTAGGTACATGATGCCTTTTGGCAGTTGTTACTTAACCAATTAAATTTTTGTACAAACTTCGCATTTGCTGTGGCTCCATAAGTGTTTGAAAGGAAAAGCATGTGTTACCCATAGCTATTAAATAAATTGCAGCAGTCATCCTTTATTGTTCATCTAGAAAATGAAGGAGTTTCTGGCTGGGTTCTATAAGGATCATTGTAATTTCTATTGCCGAACACTTTGCTGAATGAAGCCTGAATGTTTTCAGTAAAGTAGTAAAACGTTTATCAGATGCAGTGATGTCCCCACTAAAGAGGCCCTAATTATGGACTGTGGAAGCCAGAGGTGAAGATAGGAGCAAGTGTTTGCATGCCAGGCCTCTTAACTGCTTAACAGTAGTAGTAACCCTTTGTATCCCTAAAGTGTTTTTTCTTTTGTAAAAATCCTGTCTTCAGATCAGTTCTTTTGTCCCATGACATTGCCCTGGCACCTAAAATCTGGCTCTTTTACAGGGCCTCAACTTCTCCTCAAATTGGAGTTAACCCTGTCTGCACCTCGCACCAAGCTCTACCCCCGTCATTGGACTTTCTAGTGCTCGGGCCTCATTAGACTGTAAAGGCGCTAGTATTTGGCAATAAACTGACAAGGTGCTGGACTTTATAAGTTACTAGCAACTTTGAGATAATTTGAAACTCGTTGGGCTTAGCACCTAGGGCCCCACACAGATGCATAGATTTAACGACACCTTGCGCATACCTCCTGCTGTTTAGCACTGATCATTTATCAACTTTAGTGGACAGGACACGTTTGCTGTAAGAACAAAACTTTATTGTAAATATACTGGTGATATTACCTTTTTGTTTTTTTTCCTTGTTACTTTTTTTCTTTAACTTTTTTCTCTTTTGACATGGTCATTGTTTTCTCTTGTTTAGTATTACAATGATTATGGGGACATCATCAAGGAAACCATGAGTAAAACACGGCAGATCGATAAGATTCAGTGTGCAAAAACACTTATACTTAGTTTACAACAGGTAAGTAGATTTTTTTTTTTTTCATAGCCGTTTTGTGTGAAGCCTTTGCACAGAGCATTATTTTTGATTGTGAGGTTTGCCTTAGAAATTAAAAACTGAATAATGTTTCGTTTCTGAGGAGCCTCAGTCAGCTAAAATAGTTCCCAGGCTAAAATATACTATATTGACTCACAAAACGGGCAATCTGTAGCTTCTACTTGAATACGGTTACCAATCTAGATTTCCTGAAACTTTCCCGATACACTTTTTACTTCAGCCTGTTCTGTACAAAGGTTGGGACAGTCCTGACAAATGTACTCCTCCCAAACTCTTTGCAGACCAAAATGTTTAAGAATTTTCATCCAAGTGGGCTATTCCCATTGTGGGTCCTTCAATCTCTCACATCTGGTGAGAATGCTTTTAGTGTTTAAGAATTCCACTAATAAACGTTTGAAAGCTCTTTCCAAATCTTTTTTTTTTTTTTTCTGCTATGCAACCTACTATAGCAATGATGTCAGAAATTAGGGAAATGGACTTGGCTGACAGCAAAGAACCCTTCTACAGTCCTTACTCGCCCTTTAGTTGTAGAGTGCTTAGAGCTTTTGTCCTCGACCTTTACATTATCGCCCGTAAAGCTGTAGTGCTCTAATATGTACATGCCTGTTATATAAGTGAACTGGGGTGCCTGTAAAAACATGGTATTACCTGTTTACAGCCAATACAGGTATGATTTCATTTGAGAGGGAATTTACTTTTTACACTTGTATCTTACTGCATGCACTGTAAGTTTAACGTTTTTAGTGTGTCAAAGTATGTAACAGACAAGATTCTGAAATGTGTTTCTTTATATTTCTGCCCAGCTGTTCAATGAAATGATCCAGGAACATGGTTATAACTTTGACCGATCATCGCCAACATTCAGTGGTATTAAAGAACTTGCAAGACGTTTTGCATTAACCTTTGGACTCGATCAGCTTAAAACAAGAGAAGCTATTGCAATGTTGCACAAGTAATTACACTTTTTTGTTTAATGCTGCAGATTCATTAACAGTAATATTTCCCTTTTGCAACAGTAAAAGGGAATCTATGATGTTTTTTCACCGAGTACTGTTTTGGGGTTATAGTGATGCTTACCTCTAAGTTATTTTGACTGCGTTTTACATTTTTAATTGCACATTTAATGTTATGGTCTGATTTTCAATTTAAAAAGGAACTTTACCCTTGGCAACTAAGACCCCTTTAGAAAGGTTTACTAATGACAATCTACAAACACATACTTCTAGATAATTGCCGGCTTTTTAGTCTTTACATACCCCCTTTTTTTTTCCTCCCCAGTCTTCTCACAGTGCCCATTTTTGCTAAGGGCAGATTCATATATCTCCCTTTATTTCCTGGAACTCTGGCACCTGTGACTAGGACATGTGACTATGCACATAATGTCAGGGGAGGATAATGCCTTTTCCTGAAATCTTGGAAATTACAGATGAGATTTCCCAGAAATGCTCTGCTGATGTAATCTTCCCAAGATGCAACACTTAAGCACATTACATCACTAATGCCTAAGTGGACCAGGAAGTGAAAACACAGTAATTGTAAGTAAAAGCAAAATATGTTTGTTTTTTAACTAATGATTGTGAGATGTTTTCATATCAGCATGCAGAGCGGCATGCTGTTGTGATTTTTAGTGAAAGGTCCAATTTAACCTCCTTGGTGGTATTCCCGAGTGTGGCTCAGGGTTAATTTTCTGTACCATAAGCGGTAACCCAGAGCCACACTCGGGAATACACAGCGCGTCTCTAACCTTGTCCCTCGAGCTGCGCTGTGTCCTCCGGCCGATGCCGTCTTCCGAGTACCGTCCCGGGAGGGGGGGGGCTGGCGGAACCGGCGGGAGATTCAAAAGTTAGAGAAAACAAATAGAACGAAAAAGGGAAGCAAAAAAAATCATACCGCCAGGGAGGTTAGAGCTCATTTCCAGCCAACTTTTTTTTTTCTCCTTCGTCCATTGAGAGAGACAGCTCTGAAGAATTCTGAGATGTAGGGTTATGCTGCTGCTTTCAAGAGAAATGCACACTAGGCAAAAAAGCCTGCCACTTTAAGATGATAGTCGGAGGCATTATTAGTCCTAGGCCAATAAGTCAGACTCTACAGAGGTTCATTTAGGTCCTGAACCCCCAGAAGTCTGCTTTAGATCCTTCTAACTGCTGGAAATTACTATGCTGATTCACATCTCAAGCCAGAGCTTTTTGTTCCCCAAGAGAAATTCAAACTCTCCTCTTCCAGACTCAAACTTTGTAGTCCATGAGCCCTCCAACTCTCCTTTTGCTTGAGGGTTCTGGGCCTGATGGTAGCCTCTTTTGAGAGAGTTCTGTATGCCCAATTCCACTGCAGTTTATTACAACTCAACATTCGGTCTTCATGAGACTAGAAGCCACAGCCTCTGAACCCACTGAGATGCTTGACTGAGAAGTTTTCTCTGATTTTGAGGCTCAGCATCCAGCCCTGAAGTTGGATAAATCTCTTCTTCCATTAGGATAGGAAATTCTTATGATGGGTACAGGGGCGTAACTAGAAATCACAGGGCTCCATAGCAAAATTTTGTATGGGGCCCCGTGATTGCTAGTCATGCCACTTGCTGACCCCCAGCGGAGAGTGACCCTGCAGAGCCCACCATAGACTCTCTATAGTGGGCTCTGCAGGGTCTGAGTCTGTCTTACCTGTCAGCGCCTCTGTGGTCGCCGGGCCCCTGACTCCTGTTCCGTCCCAGCCTCCTCTGCTATCGACGGACTCCGCCTTCTCTTACATCACTGGCCCCACCTGCTCTAAGGCCCCGCCTCCATTCCGAACACCGCCCTCATCTGCCGCAGCGCCTGGCTGTCACTGACACAGCTCCGCAGCGGCTATGAGGGGAAATGCGCCGTGGCCGTTGCTGAGCTGTGTCTGTGACAGCCAGCACCCCCACATGCCATGGCGGCCCTGGCCCGGTCCAATAGCAGCCGCCTGGGTCGCTATGTCGATTGTTACGCCACTGGATGGGTACCAGCCTGACACTGTCCACACCTGGACACCCTTTTTGGTGCAAGGAGCCGGAATACTTGTCTCCCTATCAAAATACTGGCATTTCAAGCAATTTGGTTATCCCTTCCATGGTGGACCTCACAGCTGCAAAGTTATGTTACCAGGATTCAGTCAGACAAAGCCAGAGCAGTGTCATACATCAACTGTCAGTTAAGCAGAAGTCTTGCTTCTTTTAGAGTAACTGACCAGATTCTTACAAGAATGGAACTACTCATTCCAGCTCTGCCCTCTGTGCCCATTCCTGATGTGAGAGATTGTCAGGTGGACTTCTGGTACACTTAATATGTGCCTTTCTCTACTGACACTGTTACCTCGACTGTATTGCAGGATAGAACACAAAGAAGTTCCTGCCAGTCTTGGCCCCCCTTAAATTCACCTTGCAGGGGTGTGGTATGCAGTTCTGGTTTATCGGTTGGCAAAAGATCCCTGGTTTCTTCCAGTTTGGCCAGATCTGTTGTCTCAGGGACCATACTGCTACCCTGCTTCTCGGTCGCAGGCTTTAACCACTTGCCGTCCGCCCGTTGTAAAAAAACGGACGGACGTCACTGCAGCATTGGTGGGGTTTTTTTTCTGCTCGCGAGCGCCCCCTAGCGGGCGTGCACGGGCAGAGAAGACCCGACCAATGCAAACACCCGTTACCGGGTGTTTCACATATAGACGATCGGCAACATATAAAAAAGTAAAAAAAAAAAAACCCAAAATGTTTAACTCCCCCACGTTTACGGAGATATAAACGTAAATAAGCGTCCGGTGCACCAGCGCGCAAAAACGACAATTGCGCTACAAAGGTTAATGGCCTGACCTGTTGAAACCCACGTGGTGCGAGACAGAGGAGTTTCGGGTTCTGTTATTCCTACAATGCTTAAGGCACGTAAATTATCTTCTCATAAAATGTATCACCGTACGTGGAAGATTTATTTTTGTTAGTACGAGTCCTTTCGGTTTCCCCCGCGGGCTTGGTTTATATTGCATATTCTGCCTTTCCTTTTGATCAGGGGTTGAGCAACATTTAGCTCTTAGTACCATTTAAGGGGCAGGTATCTGCTTTATCTGTCCTTTTTCAACGTCCTCTTGCTTCTCATTCCTTGATTTGTACTTTTATTCAGGGATTACCACATATTGTGCATCCTGTTGTGTCTCCTCTTCCTTTGTGAGACTTAAAGTTGGTTTTATCTGTTCTACAAAAAATTCTCCCTTTAAGCCTGTTTGAGATATTTCTTTATTGTCCAAAAATATATTGTTTTATCTTCCCTTTCTCCTGCTTCTGTTCATCCGAAGGAGATTTCTCTTCATCCTTAGGAAATTTATCTTCATCCTTAGGACATTTCTCTTCATTGATTGGATGTTGTGCGAGCTATCAGCATTTATCTTTCAGCCACAGCTTCCTTTAGTCGTGTGTAGTCTGTTGGTCCTACCAGAAGAGCCTAGAAATGTTTTTTCAGCTTTTTGGATCCACTATATTTTTAAGTGGATTTGTCAGGCTGTAAATCAAGCTTATCAGTTGCGGGATAAGGTACCTCCCTTTTACTTTTTCTGTTCATTCTACTAGGGCCATTAGTGCTTCATGGGCATTTCATAATTGGGCTTCTGTTCACACTTTTGCAAAGTTTTATAAAGTTGATCTTTCTGCCGCCTCTGAAGCTAGTTTTGGCAAAAACTTTCTTCAGGCAGCTGTTTAAATATTTGTTTGACGGGGTTTACGTTTTTTTTGTGCCGCTTCTAGTTGTTGTGGTGCCCGCCTCTCTTTTTGGGCTGCTTTTGGACATCCCTACATCTCAGAATGCTTCAGCGCTGTGTACTTAAATGAACAATGGGGAAAATAGGATTTTGTTGTTACCGTAAAATCCTTTTTTTCGGAGTCCATTGAGGGACACCGCTCCCTCCCCTCATTTCCTTTTACTGCTTACTACAACTGGGTGGTGGGAGGGGTTATGATCTTAAAGTGGCAGGTTTTACTTTTTTTGTAGTTTCCATTTCTCCTCAAGGCAGCAGCATAACCCTATGTCTCAGAATTCTTCCGGTGTGTCCCTCAATGGACTCTGAGAAAAGGCTTTTACGTTAAGGACAAAATCCTATTATTCTGTTAGAGTGGGGAATGGTTAGAAGTGCCTTCAGATTTTCTTTTTGTCTGATCCCCTTGTATCCCCCTTACCGTCTTAATTCTCACATTGTGACTCCTTGTTAAGAAAGGAGGGGAATGGGTATCACTGTGATATGAAAAAGCAGATAGCCATTTAAACCTGAGAGAGGTTCTAACCTGTATACTAAAAAAGATAACTTTGTGTTAATTTGCCTAGAATGGAGAGACTATCGCTTGATAAAATTCTTCCCAGCAATAAAACTCTCATGTCAGTGCATCTACTATCTCTAAACAACTGTGACATGAAATCAGTCATTTTATAAGCAGCTTAGAGAGCATTTTCTCTTAGAGGAAGAATTTTGGAACCCTTTCCCCTCAGAGCTTTGTCAATGCACCCTTGCTCTAAAACATGATCTTTGTTAAAATAAGTTTTAACCCCTTCATGACTGAGCTTGTTTTCAGTTTCTGTTCGTAAATGACTGACACACTTTTTAAATTTTTGCTGTGTGATTCTTCCATGGCAGTAATATATTTTCTTACTAAATTTACCCACATATTTTATATATTGTTTTTTTAGAGGACAGATAGGTACACGTTTGATATAATTATATAGCCCTAACGCCTCACTTCGAATAAGATTTTAAAAAATATATGAGGAAAAAACAAAACGCTTTTTTGTTTTAACAAGTTTTGATGATTATTTTTTAGAAATCTTTTTATAATAATTATTGTATAAAAAATATATTTATAATTTTTTTTCAGAATTTTTTTTGTCAATTTATATCAAGCAGTCACTATGACTGCTTGATACATTTAACTTTTTACATTTTTGGTTATTAGGCTGCTCCAAACTTAGAAACAGCTAATAATAACCTTAGAGACTGATCCTGACAGCATGTCAGTCGGTTCTCACTTGGGCCTTGTTCACACCAAATGCAGACCAGATCCGGTCAGGTTTCTGCACACGCAGTGTAGTGGGTTGTGCCGCGTTTTAGACGCGTTTTGGATGCGTTTTGGATGCGTTTAGGGCCGGTTTTGGTAAAAAAAATAAATATATTTTTTAAAGTTTAACATGGACTTTCAGGCACTTGCATGCATTTTTGATGCGTTTTTGCGTTTTAGATGCGTTTCTGATGCGTTCCAGACCAGATCCAGAGCAGGTAAAATAGGGCTTGCCGCATTTTTTTCATCTGGTCTGGATCCGCACGCTGCGATGTTAATTGGAGGTCAAAATACCATAGGAATACATTGGACGTAGTTTTGATCCGGTCTGCACCTGCTCTGGTCCGCATCTGCTCCGCGCTTGTTGTGAGCAAGCCCTTAAGGTTTCTGATCCTGCCCAGATGATCAGAAGTGATACATTGTAATATTCCTGTGCCTGAAATATATCACACAGCTTTGTAAACTTCGGGCCAGTCTATGGAGCTGTCAAAACGAATAGCAGAGAGGTGAGTCACTCTGCTACCTCTCTGCTATCTTAGCTGTCAAATACGGGATTGCTATTTAGGGATTCGGTATTTGTATGTAACAACTTCATTCTTACAAGCTTTTACAAAAGCTTAACTATTTCATTAATGAATGGTAACCGCTGAGAATCGGCGGTTACCAGCATTACATTGCCGCAAATAACTGGTCACGTACAGTGTACGTGGTGGGACGTACAGTGTACGTCTCCCGTAATGAAGGGGTTAGCTATGTAAATTATCTGTTTTTCCAAGTAAGTGTTTTAGTGGACAAGGCAAAAGGTGGTGACAGTGTCTTCTTAAGGTAACTGAACATACTGGGCAGAGGCCATAAGAGCATGCAAGCTGTTTGACTCCCACAGTTATGTTAGAGGAAGTACATCAAGCCTTACAAGACTAATAACATATTTTCACTTTTAAAAATAATAAAGTACCGTATATACTCGAGTATAAGCCGTCCCGAATATAAGCCGAGGTACCTAATTTTACCACAAAAAACTGGGGGAAAATATTGACTCGAGTATAAGCCGAGGGTGGGAAATAGATTTGAAGATAGGCAATGGAAGAAACTGGAGGGGTGGCGAGTTGGATAAGAGTACTGTGGAGAAAAACTTAAGAGCCTGAGAGGTTTTTTGTTTTCTTTTGTCTGGCTATTGATATGCTTACTATGCTCTGCTTATATTGGTACTAACATTTCCAGCTAGGAAAACAGTCGGGTGTATCTTGGGTTTCAGATTGCATTGTCTGCTTTTAATACATTAAACATATCTTTCAGGGATGGTATAGAATTTGCCTTTAAAGAGCCAAGCCCACAAGGAGAAGTCCTCCCACCGCTAAACATGGCTTTCCTTGATATTCTGAGCGAGTTCTCTTCAAAACTGTTAAGACAGGACAAGAAAACAGTGTAAGTACCTATTAGAACATCTGTATTCTAAACAGACTTTCCCTGACTTGTGTCATGATTGCCTTTTTAGTAACTCATTACAATTGTTAGATTGAATAATTTATGGTGCAGCTCCGCTACATATGTGCAGCATTGTCTGTTTGTTCTGTAGACTTGGCAGTGCATAGATGTGATGATGATGAACACAGGAAGATTAGTATGTTATAGAGGGAACCAAATACATTTGCGTAATTGTGTTGATCATCCTGTAGAATGTTAATAACAAAATTCATTTTTGTTGCTAGAATTTGCCTGTGTCACTTTTCTCAATTGTTATTTATATGTCTGAATTGTTGTAAATGTTCATTGAGGATTTTCTGTTTTGTTTTTAGATACGCATACCTGGAAAAGTTCATGACGTTTCAAATGTCCCTTCGACGAGAAGATGTCTGGTTACCACTCATGTCTTACCGAAACTCCTTATTAGCTGGAGGCGACGATGACACTTTGTCTGTTATGAGTGGAATGAGTGGTCGTGGGTCATCTGTAAGGAGTAAAAAAGCAAAACCAGCAACAGGAAAACGGAAATTACCAGAAGGTATTGTTTTTATTTGTTTGTTGAAAATGTACTTTTTGTCTGCCATACTTTTTCTGTTTTTATAGAAAACACTTTTTTTTTTTTCTTAAAGCTGAAGAGAGTAGTAGCAGTGATAGCATGTGGCTAAGTCGGGAGCAGACAATGAATACTCCAGTAATGATGCAAACACCACAGCTCACATCCACTATCATGAGAGATCCCAAGAGATTGAGGCCGGAAGAGAGTTATATGCCTGTTTATCCAATGCAGCATGAGCACCACCAACCAGCCATCGATTATAAGTAGGTGTTAATGTTCATATTTTGTTTTGCTTTCTTTTCAGGATATGTAGAATGTGATAAAAACAAAACAAAAAAAGATTACATTCTGAACTTTTAATGTGTTCAGTACGCAGGTAACGTGGATGCTTGCTCAGCGACAGCAGGAAGAGGCAGCAAGGCAACATCAAGAAAGAGCAGCTATGAACTTTGTAAAGCTGAGGACTAATCTGCAGCATGCCATGTAAGAAAATATTTATACATTACTTTACACTAGTAGCACTGTTTTCAGTTGACTGAAATTAAGTTTTATCTATTAATAATCCTGCATTTTCCTGAAAGTGATTATATAGCTTAGATTGAGGATTTGTGCTGAATATATTAACTGATTCCGAAATATATCCAGGAGATGGCAGCATTCATCCACTTAACCCTACTGAGTTTGTACACTTGTACAAAATGTTAAAGAAAAACATTTGTTTTCAAGTACTCATGTCAATACCCCAAGGGAGCTGAACAGACTCCAGCACTACAGTAGAAACCTAGCAGTACCTGCATAGACCGTTACATTTTCTCGTCTGCTTTCCAGGTAGACAAAGGCCCGTCAAAAACTCCATACTGCCCCCACCCTTCTCCTAACTTTAAATACTAGTGTACATTTGACAAAAATAGGGAAGTACATACATGTATATAGGCTACACTTTGTATAGTTGTAGATTTCCCTGATATCAGCCATTTTGCATCTATTTCAGTTGATTATTTCAGTGGAACTTTAGTTGACTGTTGAAACACTCTATTCATGTTGTTCGTCTTGGCTAAAGCATGCTGACTGTGCTTGTGAGAACATTTAAATATGTAATGAATGTTCCACCCTTCAAGAAGAACTCTGGCAAATAAAATCTTAACCCTTGCAGTGTGGCTACTCCTGCACTGCAAGGGTTAAGTGCTTGTTTTGTCTAGGGAGCTAGAACCACGATCCCAGCTGACTCCTAGACCAGTGCTTTCAGCTTGTCTCCTCCCTGCTCAAGCGATGCATACATGACTCGGCATACATGTCTCACTGGATCTTAGACCGCTGCAGCGGAGGGGCAGTGAGACTGAAGGGACCAGTCTAACACTGTTATTTTAGCTCCCTAGACAAAACAAGCACTTAACCCTTGCAGTGCAGGAGTAGCCTGTTTTTAGTTAATGAAATTGAGTTTAAATGCTATTGGTAAATGTCCATTTCATTCTTCCCCTTTAAGTGACATGGGAAGTCTTTTTATCATTCAGGTTATACTGCCACCTACAGAGGGATCGGACACTAGCAAAAAACAAACTGTATTTCAGCCTAGGATAACTCATTCCAGTACCAGCAAGCCTCAGTTTTTTTTAAAAAACTAGTGTCCTAGGAACATGGATATCTTTTCTACAGCTCTGCTGTGTGAAGACTTTTAATTTTTTTTTCTAGCTCCTTTATCTTCTCTTTTGTTTGTGTGTGTTCACTCAAGACTGTTCTCTACATCGCTGCTAGAGCTTCTTCTCTTTTTTGCAGCTGTCCATCAGGGCATCCTTAGTCTGGCTTTTGGAGTTCAGCACGGGGTGCTTTCCAGACTCTATTCTGCTAATAGTTAGCTGCTTTCCAAGGCATTGCCTCAGCTCTTTCCCTTACCCCGGGTTTTGCTGTGGAAGGGGTTAAAACTATGGGACTGAACCCTGATGTTATCCTCTGAATGGAGTATCAAATACATGCTCCGTGCTCTTTTCCACCTTGCAGCAGTGAGGTAGCATCTTCCTGCTGCTGCTCCTGCTTACAAAGAGCTACATTGAACTTTGATCTGCTCCTGCTGCTTACCTACAGTGATTTTTCTCTCCTCTGGTCATCTGATCCTCACCTCCTACTCTCTAGGTTTCATGTGTACCTGAGGCCTTGCCGCTTACCCTGCTTTTTAAGCATTGCGGTTGCAGCATCTAATTCTAGACACAGGGGGGGCAGTCCATCTGTACTGGGTGCCCTCCAGGCGCTGCTTAAAGTGCGCCTTCTGATAGTGCGGATGTAACCAGCCTTGAATTTTGATACCCTCTGCTTTTTGGGTTTGTTCTATCCCCAGAGTCCTCTTTGGCTCTATTGGTTCTAGGTGGGCCATCTTCTCACTCAGCCGAGGTTTATACCACACAAAATTTTAAGACCCAAATTACCCAGTGATTTGCTGACCTTGATTGCAGAGGCCATAAGCGTGCTCCCGCACATTCTTCTGCAGATTCTGCATCAGGTTTGTCTGCAGCCTTAGTGGCTTCCTTGACTAATGAGCTTGTGTGAATGGTCACAGTCTTCTGCTAATATTTTAAAATGAATTAACATCATTTTGGCTCTTATTGATGTTGTGTACTCCACTCTGAAACTAGTGAATCAGCCCTTTGCTTCTACCTGTGCTCTTTCCAGTCTTGGGTTGCTTAAAACTCCTAAGGCCACAAAGACTGGTTAAAATCCCTTGAGATCACACCGCTATCGAGGGTTGTCCCCTTCTTCTGAAACGCGTGTAGCAGATGGTTGTAGCATTAGATTTCAGCTGTGACAGTTTGCTAGAAACCTCCTCTCTCATTTCTCATATGGGTATTTTGTCGGTTCATATACATAGGGCACTTAAGCTAAAGTGCTGGACTGCGGAATCCTTTTGTAAAAAGCCTTTGAACTGCATGGCCTTCCAGAGACGGTGTCTTTTTTTAACCAGCTCTTAACACCATCAAGGATGCTTCTGGTGGCACACTTTTAAGCTAGTCCGCAAAAAACGACTCCTCAATTGGAGTATCTGGTTCTTGTCCTGGACACAGCTCTTGCCATAGTGTTCCTTCCACACGAAAAATTTCAGACACTCTAGTCTGAGCTTTGAACTCTCCCGTCTAGGAGCTGTCCATCTCTGCGATAGGGGGGACAGATATGCAACCACAACTCTGAGGTTTAGGAGACCTGCGCCACTTACTAGTGGAGCAGGCATAGAACTTCAACGTGTGCTGGACCTCCACCAGCATGTATGTGGGGAGCTGAAGACCGTTCTGACTATGGCAGGTGGTCTTAGAGCAAAGGACCTGTTCAACTTACTGATCTTCGGTAAGATTTGTGTTCAGAGTTGGTGTTTAATGTCCTAATGAATGTATATGTAACTGCAAAGTAAAGTAAAAACTAAGAAGTTATATATAATGTTGTATTTTTTTTCTTTGCAAGACGGCGCAATCCTGGTTTAATGGAAGATGATGAAGAGCCTATTGTTGAGGATGTTATGATGTCGTCTGAGGGACGAATTGAAGATCTTAATGAGGGCATGGACTTTGACACAATGGATATAGACTTGGTAAATAGTGTTCACTGCTTGTATATGTAATAGTATGTTTATGTCATAAGTCAAAAGTTTGACTTTTAGTGACCAAGTCTGCAATGATAAGCTTCCTAATTGTGAGCATATATCTAATGAATCAGTTGACCCGTTTGTCATGTTGCATTTAATATGCAGTGTGGGGAGGAGCATAAACAGTATATTCACCCCCCTCCCCGCTCCGTTCCCCCAGCGCGGAGTGGAGGAATGGATAAGGGAGGGGGCGGGCACAGCTGGCTCTGCCTCTAGATAGGCAGAGCCAGCTGTCACGCAGTTGGGTGGATCTTGACAGCAATGTCGGAATCCGTCCCGGCTGCGGCGGTCTCAGTATACCGCGAGCTGTAGCTCGCGATATACTGAGCTTTGGGTCACGGGAGGACGTTAGTATATGTCCTCCCATGACCTTTAAGAGAACAATGGGGAAAAACACTTGCCCCATAGTTATCTTTTAAGGTTAAAGGGGTTCTAAACCCTCCCGTTTTTTTTGCCTATATCTACTGCTATCAAGCAGTAGATATAGGCAAACAGTTTTTTTTTTTAAAACCCGCTTTAGCAGCAGTTTAAACTTACCTTATTTTCGCTGCGCGTTCCCGCCTGAGAAAACGAAACTGTTCGGGCGGCCGCAAAGCATCTTGGGGTGGGCGCATTTCGGATTCTCGGCCAGGAGACGACCAGAGACGCAAGGTAAGTCTATGGACGCGTGCACCCACATGCAGACACCGTGGGATCAGAAGTGCCAGCAAGCAGAGAGGAGTCAGCACTGGATTGGAGAGCCGCCGCACCGCTGGAGAGACAGATGAAAACATCAGGAAAGGAGAATAAGATCGGATTAAGTGACATCATATAAGGTAAGTGCTGACATTAACATTGGGGGGAGGGGGAAAAAAAGTGATGTCACTAGGCCTGTGCTGGGTTGTGTAATCTCAAGACTGGCTGGACAGAAGAACATATCCTTTGGCAGCTGAAATGGCTTCCTTATGTGTCTTTTAACTGTAGGTGTAGTAGCTTGTGTCAAGTTCAGTTTTAAATATTGATTTATTTATTTGGTCTTTATTATACTGCATTGTTTATATAACACTGATGATGAAACTTGTTTCCCTTTCTTTAGCCTCCATCTAAAAACAGGAGAGAGAGAACAGAACTTAAACCTGATTTCTTTGATCCTGCTTCAATCATGGATGAATCTGTAAGCTTAAAATACATAATACCTGCCATATTAAAGATAATGAAATAACATAGCCAAGGCATTGATTGATCATTTGTCTGCGAGCCTAACTGGAGATTGATTTAACCTGTCCTAGAACTTTTATACGCTGTAGCTATTTTTTCCAATGAAGTTGCCACAATGCATAGTGCATTTTTCTAGTAGTAACTCTTAGGCAGACAGATGTTGTGTAGCACAGATTTATTTTTTTAGTTTGTGGTTCATAGATGAGATCATTTTTCTGGCTCTGATTTGGACAACCATAACGAATGTGTGGAGTATATGGAAGCTGTAAACTCTGGGCATGTTATTGAGGCCTTAACATTACTGACCATTCTCTTGAGGAATACTAATGGATATATCTCTGTCCTCCCAGAGATGTTTGCTTAGGTTACGAGGTTAGACTGTCATGGTTTTCAAGCATTGGTGTCACCTTTCTTGGCTTAATAAAAGGCACAGAGCCTTCCTTGTGCTAGAAGCTTACCAGTAGAACAATATATGAATATAATAGTAGCAATAAATGTGTTTACTGCATTAACCACTTTTATTTTTTAAGTTGAAGTTTTTTACATATTTTCTTACAACTAATGTAGCAAATAGTTTGTAGTTTGTCAATTTTACACTAAAAAACCAAAAGCGTCAAAAAATAAATTTTAAACACAAGAAAAGTTTGTTAGACCGCCTCCATTCACTTAGGAAAAACATTTTCCACATTCATCTCCATTTAAAGACTATGAGGGGAATTGATCAAAATCTGGAGCAGCTGTGCATGGCAACCAATCCGCTTCTCTCTTTCATTTTCAGATCTTAACTGAACAAATTGCAGAGAAAAGCTGATTGGTTGCCATGGGCAACTACAGATTCTCTCTGCTCCAGTTTTGATAAATTCCCCCCTATGTAGTTCTATATAACAGACACTTGATGGCAGCATATCACATCTTCATAGATTCAGATCGTTCTTCAGTAACATTTTCCATTGTTTTAAGTGCAACATTACAAACTGCACTCTTTTTTTCCTTTTATTAATTTGAATTCATATCTGTCCACATCTCTTTCATACTCCTAACGCTCATTTTTTTTTCTCTCTAGGTTCTTGGGGTATCAATGTTTTAATACCAGTTCATCTATCAACTCTGTGGTGAAGTGTTTTTTTAAATGGAAGAGGAAGTTTTTAATGACAAATTTGTGGTAGATACATTGAAATTCTGTACAGAATTTTCTCTAAGGAGAATTTGACATGCTTACCAAGATTAAGTGCATTGAAGGGCAGTTTTGAATGCCTGAAAAATATAAAGGACAAGTAAACAGTTTGATAATAAGCTACATTGTACCATTTTGGAGAAAATATTTTTTTTATTTATGTATTTTAGTTTGTCCAGTTATAATGCATAGTTCCTTCCTTTCTTCTTTTTTTTTTTTATTTTATAAAAATAACTCCCATTATTGAATAATGTTGATTCTCTTTACTCCATGAAAGAGTTAAAATAATAGCATTTATATTTATAATTCAGTATGGTTATGTAATAGTTTCCTTTTTTCCAAAATGTGTAAACTCACAAACTTAATTAGACTGATCTCATTAACTAAAACTCACAACCACTTTTTTTTTTTTTTAAGATGTCAGTAGGTGAGACATTTTAATGTTATTTTAATTAAAAGGAGCCTTACGGAATGCCTTTCTTCCCCAGAAAGACGTCAGTGGGTAATTCGCGCTAAGGTATCCAGACATAACCATGCTTGCTCATTAATAACCTTAAAAGTTTGCTTGTCCTTTACGAAACTTGTAATGTTGTGAAATTCCTTCCAGTAGTGCCACTGTATTTTGTCTCCAAATAAAGAGAAGCTTATTGTAGTATGTTTGCATAAAAAAAAAAAGAGAAAAAAAATTTAAACAGAAATTATACAGCTTCTTAG